ATGCTGGGAAAGATCAAAGGCAGGAGAAGTGGAGGACACAGGATGAGATGGTTGGATGGCATCGCCGACTCAATGGACATGAGTTTGAGCAAGCTCCAGGAGATGGTTAAGGACAGGGAAGCCTGGCGTGCTGCAGTCCATGGGGTCACAAAGAGTCAGACACGACTGAATGACTGAACAACAACAAACGTTGAGGATCTTTTTGGCTTTATTCAACAATTCATGGATCAGGCATCATCCCATCTAAGCAGGGATAGGCACTCCAATGAGCTGTACAAAGTGGAAGACTTAGGAGGGAACAAAGGCAAGGAAGTTATACCAGCAAAAACTGAATTGTTTGTGGTAAAGACACCTTCCTTTTGAGGATCAGTTCAGTTCAGTCGCTCAGTCATGTCCAACTCTTTGCGACCCCATGAATCACAGCACGCCAGGCCTCCCTGTCCATCACCAACTCCCAGAGTTTACTCAAACTCATGTCTGTCAAGTCGGTGATGCCATCCAGCCATCTCATCCTCTGTCGTCCCCTTCTCCTCCTGCCCCCAATCCCTCCCAGCATCAGGGTCTTTTCCAGTGAGTCAACTCTTCCCATGAGGTGGCCAAAGTATTGGAGTTTCAGCTTCAGCATCAGTCCTTCCAATGAACACCCAGGACTGATCTCCTTTAGGATGGACTGGTTGGATCTCCTTGCAGTCCAAGGGACTCTCAAGAGTCTTCTCCAACACCACAGCTCAAAAGCATCAATTTTTTTGTGCTCAGCTTTCTTCACAGTCCAACTCTCACATCCATACATGACCACTGGAGAAACCATAGCATTGACTAGACGGACCTTGTTGGCAAAGTAATGTCTCTGCTTTTGAAAACGCTATCTAGGTTGGTCATAACTTTCCTTCCAAGGAGTAAGCGTCTTTTAATTTCATGGCTGCAGTCACCATCTGCAGTGATTTTGAAGCCCAAAAAAACAAAGTCTGACACTGCTTCCACTGTTTCCCCATCTATTTCCCATGAAGTGATGGGACCAGATGCCATGATCATAGTTTTCTGAATGTTGAGCTTTAAGCCAACTTGTTCACTCCCCTCTTTGACTTTCATCAAGAGGCTTTTTAGTTCCTCTTCACTTTCTGCCATAAGGGTGGTGTCATCTGCATATCTGAGGTTATTGATATTTCTCCCAGCATTCTTGATTCCAGCTTGTGCTTCTTCCAGCCCAGTGTTTCTCATGATGTACTCTGCAAATAAGTTAAATAAGCAGAAGGATAGTAGTGTCTAAAGAACAAATTACCTCACTAATGCTGACCAAGTAATTCCTGGTTGACAAGTTTGATTCCATTTTGGGAAGAGCTGAAACTGTAATTAAGTTAAATATTAAGTCCTGTTTGATGACATGGGGCTAGCATAAGTGACCTGAGGCACCTTTCCTTTTTATGAAGGTAAAGTTACTACACTGGCTAAAGTCTAGAAGGGCCCAAGACTAGCTCGGTGGAGATTTCAGATACAGGTGTTCTCCATTCTTCTGATTCAGATAGGGGGATATCTATCCCAGCACTTCCCTCAGGGAGGGCCTGAATGGGAAAATCTCAGGAGCAGGGTTATCTAGGGTGGGGTAGTCACCTTCTATGTGGACACACTCCCCACCTCATCGAGCCAGTGGAACTTCAGTTTCTTACATCAGAATAGTGTGATTTAAGCTCCCATTTTGTCATGGGTTTAACAAATATTTATTGAGCTCTGCTATTAGCCTAGGAACCCCATGAAACACCCATTCTTGCTCCTCATCATCTGGTTCTCCCATCATCAGAGAGGTTCTGTGCTCCCCTCCCCAGGATTCTCTTCCTGTGTCTGGCCAACCCCTCAGGGTCTGTGAAGGTCACGTTCTTCTTCCTCTGAAACTATACCCTTCTACTCCTTGGCCAGCAACCAGCCCCAACCCCTCCCATCTCTCATTTTAGTGTCATTGTGGGTGACATCTGCTTCATGTATTCTGAAGATGTATATTAGGCACATACAAACTTTTGACTGTTGTGTATTTCTAGTGGAATTGATCTTTTATTATGGAGAAGTGTTGCTTTCTGTCTACTGATACTCTGTGCATTAAGGCCCATTTTATCTGATATCAGTATGGCCACACCAGCTATGTGATGCTTATTGTTTTGTTTGCATGGTAGATCTTTTTCCATTTTGTTATCTTCAACCTATCTGTGTCTTTAAAGTGTTTCTTATAGACAGTATAAGTGGGAGGGGGGAGCGGGGAGGAAGGCTGCATTTGTGAGAAAATTTAAATTACCATGAATCAGTTTAAAACATTAATGTCTTCAGTGGAATCTTCTACTTGGAATTTCTGGTATCATTTGCCCCTTGCTGTGTGGACTGCCACAGGAGAACACTTTAAGTCACTAATCAGAGGTACAACCCTCCTGAGGGGGATCCTATCCTTCTTCAGCCAACCACCCTCAAAAAGCAGTGGTTCCCAGGGCAGCAAAGCAAAGGGAAAGCCATGCTGTGAATGAGAACACCCAGGAATAGAATTAAGTGAGGGCAGGACACAGGAGAGAGAACAGTATCTGGGATCTTACCTCTGCCTGAGAAGCAGCGTGTCCAATACATGTTCAGCAAGGTGAACAAGAAACAGGTAAGAGACAGTTGTGTGACTGATAACCTGTGGAGATCTCTTCAATTGTTTTCTCCTAAACTATTTTGCCCTTTTTATGGACATCTATAGAAAAATAGGGGACTTCCTGAATACTAGAAATAATTTTAAATTAGTAAATTTATACTGAATGTACTTTGCCCTGTCTTTATTCTTTTTCCTTTATTGTGTTTTGCTTCAGTTATTTCCACCAGTCTATCTTCCAGCTCATGTAACTGTTCTGCCTCACTTACTCTGCTGTTGATTCCCACCAGTGTATTTTTAATCTCAGTTATTGTGTTGTTGATTGTTGATTGTTTAAATTTTTCTAGGTCCTTGTTAAACAAGACCTTGTGTCTTCCTGATCCATGCTTCCATTTATCTTCTAGATTTTGGGTCATCTTTAGTATCATTACTTTGAATTCTTTTTCAGGTAGACTGCCTATTTCCTTGATTTGTTTGGTCTTATGGGTTTTTACCATTTTCCTTCATCTGCTGCATATTTCTCTGTCTTTCCATTTTGTTTAATTTACTGTGTTTGGAGTCTCCTTTCTGCAGACTGGAAGGTCATAGTTGCTCTGAATTGTGGAGTCCGCCTGCCATGGGTGGGGTTGGACTAGTGCCTTGTGAAGGCTTCTTGTTTGGGGGGACTTGTGCCCATGTTCTGATGGATGGGGCTGGATTTCATCTCTCTGGAAGGCAGTGCCATGGCCAGTAGTGTGTTTTGGGGTGTCTATGGCTTCAGTATGGCTTTGGGCAGCCTGTCTGCTAATATGCAGGGTTGTGATTCTGCTTTGCTGAAGGATTGGTGTGGGGCATCCAGCACTGGAGTTTGCTGGGTTTTAGGTGGAACGTGGTCTTAGTGTTGAGATGGAGGCCTTTGGGAGGGCGCTTGCCTATTAATTTTCCATGCGGTTAGGAGTTCCCTGGTGGTCCAAAGTCCTGGAGTTGACTCTCCTGCCTCTGGGATTCAGGCTCAACCCCTTACAGCAGCATCAAGGCTTCACAGGGCACACAGCACAGAAGACAAAACACCTAGACTACTGGTGAAACAATTCTCAACATCCAAGATCACCCAAAAAGATTCACACACTTAAACAAAGCAAAGAAGAGCAAAGAAGGAGAAAAAAGGGGGAAAAAAAATCAAAAGAAAAGAGAGCAATCAAGTCAATAACCTAACTCTTAAGTGAAAACAGGTACTAAAAATTAGACCCTCAAAGATACAAAATTTAAAACAAAAGATCAAAAAACAAAAATCAAAAACATGGAAAAAAATTAGACTCTCAAAATTATAAAATCAAAAACATCAAAAACAAAAAATATGTAATTTGTTTAAAAGATAAGGTGTTATCTGAGCCGCCATTCTTGCTTCTACTTGAGCTTAGTCTCCGGCTGTTGCCGTGCAGACTAACTCATATAGAAGCAAGAAAGGAAACCTTACACCACCAGACAATTTTTGGAGGTCTTGTGAGATTAAGCAAGACCAATAAATAAAAAGAAAAAAAAAAAAAAAAAAAGATAAGGTGTTTTTATTTTTTTAAGAAAAAATAGGTTACAAAAAATAAAAATTAAAGGAGTAATAAAGAACTGTGTTAGGCCAGTATGAGAAGAAGAGGGAAAAAGCAGGAGGGTGCAGAATACAGAGAGTGGCAGTGAGAGGAATGTTCAAGTGATTCTTGTTTTCCTGCTGCAGTCCATCTGCCTATTCAGGAAGTCTTCCAATATATCTTAGAAGGCCTCTGAACCTGTTGTGGGTGGTGTGGGGTCAGCTTAGACTTAGATCTTCCCTTGCTTAAGCTTGTATTTGGCTCTCAAAGTCTACAGTTGCCCCTAAAGCACACAACCTCAGATTAATTGCAGGCATTTAAACCTCAGTACTTGCCACTTCTGGAGCAGTTTCCTCTTCTTTCCTTTGCTCCCAGACCTTGGTGTTCCACTTTGGTTTTGGGGTTGCCTCTTCTTCCAAGTCTCTCTCCAATGTCTGTTCTCCACCCAGACACGACACGAGGGGGCAAAAGTAGCCACTTATTAGGACTCACTTGCTCAGTTGTGCTGGGAAGAGGGAGGGGTACAGCAGATACTGCTGGGGTGTGTACGGAGTGCTTGCCATGGCTGGGCCCTGAGGGAGGTTGCCCAGTCTGGCGTGGGTCGTGTGCTTCCCCAGGGGAGTTGGTTCCAGGTTGTGACGTCCTTGGCAGAGCCAAGCCACTCAGGCTCTCAGGAAGATGTGGGTAGCGACGGGCATGTGCTTACAGTTTGATGGTAGTTGTGATCTGTGGGGTCAATACTGAAGATCTCCTGCCCCTGGCACTCATGCCTTTTTCTCTGCCTCTGGGACCTTAGACCGATAGATCGGAGTCGTTTGTTTTGTGAGCACATGGAGTTAGAGCATGGTGGCATTAGATTTCCCACGGGAACAATCTTTTGCTTCTCTGGTGGTCCCATATATCTCTCCCTTAAGAATCTGAATATGTCCTACACATTTCAGGGCTTTCCTGGTGGCTCAGATGGTAAAGAATTTGTCTGCAATGCAGGGGACCCAGGTTCAAGATCCCCTGGAGAAGGGAATGGCAAGCCACTCCAGTATTCTTGCCTGGAGCATCCCATGGACAGAGGAGCCTGGGGGGCTGCATTCCATGGGGTTGCAGAGTTGGATACAACTGAGCAACTAACACACACTGGTGGTCCCAGGGTTTTTCCTGGTTCGCTTGCTTTGTGTCGTATTAGCCCCCTCAGAGTACCTTCATGGCAGTCAACCCCCATTCCTCTCACTAAGGACCAATCCCGAGGCCTGAGCCTCCACACCCAGCCCCTGCTTGCCACAAGCGTGACAGCCACGTGCGATCTCAGTGGTGAAGTTTCTCCATTTTGCCTTCGGCACACCTGTCTCGCTGTGCTTCCCTCTGAGGTTCTGAAGCTCCCCTCCCCTGACCTTGCTTGTGAGGGGTTTTCCTAGTATGCAGAAACCTTTTCTCCTTCACGACTGTCCCCAGGATGCAGGCCCCCATCCCAAATTCTTTGTCTTCTTTTTTGTCTTTTATCTTTTGCCCTACCTCATTCTGAGATTGGCTTACCTTTCTGTAAATCTGGGGTCTTCTGGCAGTGTTCCAAAGATGTTCTGTGGGAACTGTTCCACATGCAGATGATATTTTGATACATTTGTTGGGGAGAAGGTGGTCTTCCTGTCCTATTCCTCCACCATCTTCTCTCCTTTTCTGCCCTGTGTTTAGACTGGTTGTTTTCTTGATGAGATTTTTTCATGAATATTTTCATGATTTTTTCTCACATACTCATTAACCCCTTTCATTGAAGGCTGGCTTTTTTCTGTTCTGGCACGTCTCCCCTGGTTTACTAACAGACTGTCTCCTCTTCTAGGCTAATGGGGGAGTGGGGAGTGTCTCACATCTCCATGTCCCCAGCACTCAGCATATAGGTCTCCTGAATTAATAAATGAGTGGGGGGTGGGACAGAGCATACAAGACAAAACAAGCGAACAAATAATAAGAAACCACACTTTTGCTTATTAAAGCCAGGTAGGTCTCCTGCCCACCCTAGCTCTCACTGTACCAGTCAGGCCAAAAGAAAGTCCTTCCTCCTCCAGCCCATGTAGGCATTTCCTCATACCCGAATCTCCCTAAAACTGCAAGGAAGGGAGTAGGTAAAAATGGTGATGGTGGAATGGTAGCCAGTGCTGCCTCCTTTCAAATCCCTTCCCCAGTCCCAAGATGGGCCCTCCTCCCTAGCCCCTGCCCCATGGGCCTGGTCCTGTGAGGACCCCAGCTTGGTTCCTGAGAATCATTTCCTTGAGATGGAGAGGCACAAAGCAGAGTCACCATGTCCCTTTATGCCTCTGGGCCCTAAAGTCAGAGCTCTGCTTCTACCAGGGAGTGACTCTGAGCAGCCTTACCACCCTCACTTCTCCCCTTTGTTAGGCAGGAAAAACAGTGACATGGCAGAGATCTGAGTCAGCTGACTGGTTCCAGAAACCACCAACTTCAGCCCTAAGGGGAATGGGAGAGGAGGGGATTTTTTTTTTTTCCTATATAAATAACCCAAACTGGAGATCATCGGTAAGGTATTATCTGAGAGAGCCTCTAATCAACGCCTTCATTTTTCTGATGAGGGCCAGGAAGCCCAGAGAGCCAGTTAGACTTACACATATTCCTCACTAGTAGTAGTAGTGATGTTGGTCGCTCAGTCATGCCCGACTCTTTGCAACCCCATGGACTGTAGCGCACCAGGCTCCTCTGTCTGTAGAATTCTTCAGGCAAGAATACTGGAGTGGGTAGGTATTCTCTTCTCCATGGGATATTCCTGACCCAGGGATCAAATCCAGTCTCCTGCATTGCAGACAGATTCTTTATTGAGAGCCACCAGGGAAGCCCATAGTCAGCATTCAGTTCAGTTCAGTTCAGTTCAGTTCAGTCTAGTCAGCATTAACAACCAGCTAATAGCAGAAGGTGGTTGGGACAGAGCTCACTAGCCCTAAACTCTGAGGGGCAGAGAGTGCCTGGCTTAGCTTCTTCTAAAGGCCAGAGTAAGCCATTTTCTTGTCTGGAGGGATGGAGGAGAAGTTTTTTCTCTTCCACTTGAGGCAGAATGAGGTGCTGGGAAGACAACCACAGCTATCTATCAACACCAGTGAATAAATGAATAAATTGTGGTATATTCCAAACAATTCAGCAATAAAAAAGAATATACGAATCAACATGGATAAATAGCAGATAATTATGCTGAATGGAATAAGTCAGACCCCCCACCCCCAACAAAAGACCATACTGTTTGATTCTGTTAACAAACCTGTGATACAAAGCAGTTAGTGATGTAATGGGTTGAATGATAACCTCCAAAATGATATGTCCATACCCAATTCCTGGAACCTGTGAATGTTACCTTACTTAGATAAAAGGTCTTTGCAGGTGTAAGAAAAGATCCTGAGATGAGTTCACCATCCTGAATTATCCTGGTGGGCCTTAAATTCAATGTCAAGTGTCCTTACAATACAATACACCGATATAAGAAGTTCCCTGGAAACAGGTAAGAAGATGGGGACAGGTGGAAAGGAAAGATTATAAAGAATTAAAGAGTCAACTTTCAGGAATGATAAATATTTTCATTATCATGACTGTGATACTGTTTCATGGATGGAGATGTATGTCAAAACTTATCAAATTGTATACTTTAAGTCCATTATACATTAACAGAACTGTTAAAAAGATGAAAGATCCATGGATCCAAAACGAGACTCCACTTGCAATATTTTGGCTTTTTGTAAGTAACACTGATATATGGTGCATTCTCAGGAAATTGATTATGAGAGAAAAGTACCATCATATGAAGAACAGCTAAATAACACCAGAATATTAAAATCTGGAGAATGAACATACATATAAATACATATACTAATCAAATATATTAAGTATTGTGACATACAAGTTAAAACATTCTCATCTTATATGAACTTCATTAGAATAGAGATCAATGATATCCTTGTAGTGAGACAGATTTTGGTTCAAGTAACTTCCTAAAGTCAGTACCTGTCCACAGATATGATAATGGTTGGAGGAGCTAGTTAGTGGGAGACTACTGTCTAGATGGACAGAGGAGCCTGGTAGGCTAGCCCATGAGGTCATGAATGAGCCAGACGCAACTTAGCGACTAAAGAGGAACAACAATGTGTCTCAAGATCATAGAGTGGAAAAATAAGGGGAACATTTTCAAGCTTGTGACTCATTAAAAGTAAGTTGAAGGAGGGAGGAGCCAAGATGGCGGAGGAATAGGACGGGGAGACCACTTTCTCTCCTACAAATTCATCGAAAGAACAATTGAACGCTGAGCAAATTTCACAAAACAACTTCTGATCGCTAGGAGAGGACATCAGACCCCCAGAAAAGCAACCCATTGTCTTCGAAGGGAGGTAGGACAAAATATAAAAGATAAAAAGGGAGACAAAAGAGCTAGGGATGGAGACCCGTCCCGGGAAGGGAGTCTTAATAGAGGAAGTTTCCAATCACCAGGAAACCCTCGCGCTGGCGGGTCTGAGGGAAGTTTTCAAATCTCGGAGGGCAACCTAACTGGGAGGAAAAATTAAATAAGGCCCACAGATTACGTGCCTAAAAGCAACTCCCAGCAGAAAAGTACCCCAGACGCCCGCACCCGCCACCAGCAAGTGGGGGCGAAACGGTGAGGAGCCGGTGGCATTGCTTAGGGTAAGGACTGGGCCCGAAGGCCCTGAGAGCAGTCGGAGGGAGCTTTTTTAAACTGTGGGATAGCAAGAGAGAAAATTAACCGGCCCGAACACACTGCCTGCGGTTAGCAAAACAAAGGGACTGAGAAAGTCCAGAGCAGAGCCGGCCCATCCCTGCTGGAGGTAGGAGGCAGGGGGGAGGGGAAAGGGGCAAACTCAGCCCCTGAGAAGCCACCCCCTCCCACACTGCAAACAGGCCCCTGGTTCCTATCTAAAGAATTCCTGAGATTCTGGATGGTCAACATCCGCCCCCGGGAGGGTCGCGGCTAGAGGCCAGCTCCTCTGAACAAACGCAAGCCGCAGGCACCCCACCGGCGGCGCGCGCTGGGGCCGCGGAGGGAAAAGGCGCGCCGCATCCGGGGAGAGTGCGCCCAAGCCTCTGGCTGCCTGAACCGCTCAGGCCAGGGAAGGCACAAAACGCAGGCGCAACTGAATCCGCGCTTTTGTGGAGTACCCGAAAACTGGAACTGCACTCAACGCAGGGCCCGCTCCACATAGAGCAGCCGGGAGCCTGAGCAGTGTAGACGGGGAAAGCACAGACACCCCGGTACGGGGCAAACCCAGTGTGGCCGGAACACTGTGAGTGCTATCCACACACAGCAATATCTGTTTGCACCGCCCCGCCCTCCCTGTAACAGGACTGAACTGAACTAGCGAACCTAAATAAGAGATCACCTCCGCCCGCCTGTGTCAGGGCAGAAATTAGACACCGAAGAGACGGCAAACAGAAGCCAAACAAACAAACGGAGCCGCTTCAGAAAGGACCAGTGCAACAGATTAAAACACCAACTACACCAGAAGGGGCCTATAGATATTGAGAAGTGTAAACTGGAAAGAGGAGCTATCTGAAATTGAACTGAACCTACACTGACTGCAACAGCTCCAGAGAAATTCCTAGATATATATGTATATTTTTTGTTAAATTTTAAAAAAGAGAAAAAAAAATTTTTTTTTCTTTCCCTTTTTTAAAAAATTTTTTTCTCTTTTATTTTCTTTTAAAATTCCCTACTACTCCCTCATTACTCCTCAACTTTCATTTTCATATATTTTTATGATTTTTTTTAATTAGGGAAAAAAATTTTTTTCTTTCTTTATTTCTAAATTTTGTGTTTTTGTTTTTAAATATTGTATTTCAAAGAGTCTAACCTCTACACTAGATTTTTAATCTTTGTTTTTCAGTATGTGATATAAATTTTGGACATTTAAGAATCCAATATTCAGTTCCCATTTCTATTCAGGAGTGTGTTGATTACTCTCTCTCACTTTTGACTCTCTGTTTTCTACCTCAGAACACCTCTATTTCCTCCTTTCCCCTTCTCTTCCCAATCCAACTCTGTGAATCTTTGTGGGTGTCTGGGCTACAGAGAACACTTTGGGAACAGATAACTGCGTAGATCTGTCTCTCTCCTCTTGAGTCCCTTTTTTCTCCTCCTGCTCACCTCTATCTCCTTCCTCCCTCTCCTATTCTTCATGTAACTCTGTGAACCTCTCTGGTTGTCTCTCACGGTGGAGAATCTTTTCACCATTAACCTAGAAGTTTTATTATCAGTGCTGTATAGTTGGAGAAGTCTTGAGACTATTGGAAGAATAAAACTGAAATCCAGAGGCAGGAGACTCAAGCCCAAAACCTGAGAAAACCAGAAAACTCCTGACTACATGGAACATTAAGGAATAAGAGACCATCCAAAAGCCTTCATACCCACACCAAA